GGGTTTTGCTAAAATGACAAGCACCGTTCTTGACCCCCAGAACTGACACAACTTTTTTTGCCTATGCACTTTATAGGTTCTCCGTGGTTTTTGTTATTAAAACAACATTCCCTTAAACAGCCACACCTTTAAAGATCTGGATTCTGTTTAAGTCACAAAGACACACTACTGTCACATAGGAGATGACAATCTCAGATGGCGGGTGGCTGAAGGCAAAGAGGAGGCAAGAAGCAAGAGCGGCAGAGGAGCAGAGATCCTGCTCCCAGGTTCAGCAAACGCAAACCTGCGATCCCCTGCAAGGGTGACATCCTTTAGTCACAAACCTTACTGGCATAATTTAATTACATCTTCAGACTACAGTCAGGAGGGAAAAAAGCTAAGACAAAAATACTACTCACTAAAGACACAAACCATAGGAGCACTCTGGTTTCATGGTCCATGGTCAGAACCCCATTTATTAAACATTATAAACTTATCAATGTACACCATTTCCTATATACAAATCAAGTTTATCAATTTTAAAAAGTGCTGTTTGAAATTAGGTTTTATTTAAAGCACAAGGTAATCGGAATTGCATCTTAATTGAGAGTGAATCAGTTCACGAGTAGCATTGAGAACACAAACACATCGACGGGGGCACAAGACACCTTTTAAGTCTTAATGTTGATTTACTGAAAACTTTGAGGAGAAACATTCAGCTTATTTTATACAAACAGTACATAGTGCTTCCATCATCTCTATTAAAATTAAGAATACAGTTTAATCCTTTTAAAGCAAGGTACTTGGAAAACTTCTATTTTAAAATACCAGCCTATTTACCTATTCCAAACAAAAAGGCCCAAATCCTGCAACTGAATCAAGGCAGACAAAAATATATGCCTGTGTAGACGAACCGCAGGCACGTGAGCTAAGTAAAAAACACTTTTCCAGGGTATCCTACCACAAAAATGAGATGATCTAGCATAATGATCTTTTAAACAAACCAACCAACCCACCCAAGGACTATAAAAAGGTGGCCAGACAGTAAGAAATGTCAAGTGACCACTATAAACATGTTTAAAATGTAACTGCACAACAGTATAAACACACAAAGGATGTTGTTTATTTCTCTACATGCCACAGTTACTTGTTCTACTCTATGCTATGCCGTAGCTTGCCAATATTCCGCAAATGCCATCACACCAGGGGATACTACGTGATACCGGATCCTTTCTTGACCGCGTTTGCTCCATTTTGCAACATTCTGAAGTGACTGAGAAACAAAGTGATACTGAGTGGTAGTTTGGCTGAGAGAAGTTCTGTAGAAGACTAGATAAAGAGAGTATCAGATCAATTCACAGGGACAAAGATGTAAGAACAAACTACTCAAAGGACTTCACTACACACAAATGAAAAGGAAAGAACCAGCCAACAGCTTAAATTCACACTTTTTGGATTTTTTCAGTGAAACCAGCGTGGGGGCACTTTATTTTTTTTTGTGATATGATCGTGCTACTTCCATCCCATTTAAAGTCAGTCCAAATAAAAAAGATAACAGTGAAAAATTGCTTTATTCTGGCTGCTGGAAACGGAGGCAGAGAAAGCGCTACCAGCGTGAAAGAACAGTGCTGAAAATATCCTTGGCGTTTAT